AATCTCTCTTGAGGCTGACTTTACGGAATTAACGAAATACATAACGACCAGTGATCAAATTGCTACTGAGAAATTCGAGGTAGTAAAAAAGAAAACTAAAGAAATAAATAGTAAATTAAGGGATAAAAGTGAGTTATTAAAGGTAAAAAGCAAACTAAGAGAAATTGAAGATAGATCGAGAAGGAATAACCTGAGAATCGACGGTTTAAAAGAAAATGATAATGAAAGTTGGAGCAATAGTGAAGAAAAAGTGTTGAAGCTATTTGAAGAATCACTTGGACTGAAAGAAATTAAAATTGAAAGGGCTCACAGAACTGGAATCAGAGACGGCAAAAAAGTAAGATCTATAGTACTAGAATTACTAAATTATGAAGATAAAGAAAGAATCCTAAAAAATTCTTCAAAATTAAAAGGCAAAAACATATATATAAATGAGGATTATTGTGCAGAGGCGGTACAAATAAGAAAAGAATTACGGATGGAAATGAAAAAAGCTCGAGAAGGTGGGAAATTCGCGTTTATATCATACGACATGTTGATTGTACGAGAATGGTCTCCAAAAGAAAAGTAAATATTTTATGTTTCTTCTAGCTTAACGGTACCTTGTATTTTTCCTTTTTTTTATATATATGATTTAGATTGTTATTATATTCTACTTTTTTAAAAATGGATGATAATCTTTTATTAAATTTGAATACTGAGAGTGATGATGACTATTTCAATAAAAAAAACTTTGAAAGTGAGTATTATTCAATCCGTGAAGCTACTCATTTTTTGTGTCAAAAAAATAAAATAAATAGTTTTTCAATTTTCAATTTAAACATTCGAAGTATCAATAAAAATTTTGATAATCTAAAATTATTATTGCATGATCTAAATCATGATTTTCAAATAATAACTCTCACGGAAACGTGGTTGAAAAGCAATGAAAAAAACTATAATTATGAGTTAAGTAATTACGTGTCAGTCCACCAACCGCGTCAAAACCACGTTGTCGGTGGTGGTTTAAGTATCTTTGTTCACAAATCTGTTAACTTTGAATTGCGTAACGACCTCAGCGTTAACGAAACAGATTGTGAGTCGTTATGCATTGAAATAAATAATAAAGCGACCAAAAATATAATTATTAGTTCTATTTATAGAAAGCCATCTGGTAATTTAAAAAAGTTTCATACCTATCTAAAAACATTTTTAAGCAAAATTAACATTACAAAAAAACACGTGTACTTAACTGGTGATTATAATTTAAACTTGTTAAATCATGCTTCAAATCTAAATGTTCAATGCTTTTTAGATACTTATACAATACTTATACTTACGATATCATTCCCACTATAAATAAGTCGACGAGAATAACTAAGACTTCGTCGACCTTACTAGATAACATATTTACTAATAATTTTCATAATTGCCCTTTAGAATCGGGTATAATTAAAACTGACATAACAGATCATTACCCAATATTCTTAACTACAGATAATATAACCCTTAATCATTCTGTCTCTAAATCAACAATATCAATGCGACAAATCAATAAAAACTCCATAATATATTTTTGAAATCTTTTATCTGAAAAAACTAATTGGGATCTTATATTACAATCGCAAGATGTGAATAATGCGTATGAATTATTTTTGGCGCAGTTTTGTAAATACTATGATTTGGCATTTCCAGTTATAAAAAAAATTATAAATCCTAAATCACTTTTAAACCCTTGGATGACCAAAGGTTTACTCAAATCATCAAAGAGGAAACAAAACCTTTATGAAAAATATTTAAAACATAAAACATATAAAAATGAAACAAAATATAAAAATTATAAAAACTTGTTTGAAAAAATAAAGAAACAATCTAAAAAAAATTATTATGCAAAATTGCTAGAAAAAACACATGGAAACACACAAAAGACGTGGAATGTTATTAAGCAGATAATCGGTACAAATAAATGTCAAAATAATAAATTGCCAGAAAAACTTTTAGTTGACGGGGATATAATTTATAATAAAGAAGTCATAATTAACAAGCTCAACAAATTTTTTCTTGATATTGGACCAAAATTAGCTGATAAAATTCCAAAAACCAACTCAAACAACTTCGAATCTTATATAAATACACCCAACACATCTATGATAGAATCTAATTTAAACTTAAGTGAGATGCTCAATGCTTTCAACTGCCTAAAAAATAATAAATGTGCGGGCATTGATAAAATTAGCGTAAATGTAGTTAAAGCTGTGTTTGATATTATTGAACCATCACTGTTTCACATTTTTAATCTTTCTTTAAAATCCGGTATTGTACCGGAGAAATTAAAAATTGCTAAGATTGTACCTATTTTTAAAAATGGCGATGATACAAATATGTCCAATTATAGACCTATTTCTGTCTTACCATGTTTCTCTAAATTGTTAGAACGAATTATGTATGATAGACTTAACAACTATTTAACTGAGAACAATATTCTGTATAATAAACAATTTGGGTTCAAAAAAAATCATTCAACGGACCATGCAGTAGTCGATCTAATAAATTATGTATCCAATGGGTTTAATAATGATTGCTATACATTAGGAGTTTTTATTGATTTGTCAAATTTGACACTGTTAATCATGATATTCTAATAAAAAAACTAGAAATGTATGGAGTATTAAACAATAACTTACAATGGTTTAAAAGTTACCTTTCAAACAGGAAACAATACATAATATATACAGAAAATGAAGAAAAAAAACATATCATAAATTGTGGTGTTCCCCAGAGATCAATCTTAGGGCCCTTATTATTCATACTGTTCATTAATGATTTGTATTTAGCTTCCAAAATTCTAAACGTTATTTTGTTTGCTGATGACTCAAATCTTTTTTACTCTAACAGAAATATTAAAGATCTGTTTAGAATTTTTAATGAAGAGTTATTAAAAATAAATGAATGGATTACGAATAATAAACTTTCATTAAATGTTGGGAAAACTAAATTTATCTTATTCCACAAACCTAGTAAAGGTGATAACCTTTTTTTAAAACTACCTGATCTCTTTATGAACAAAAAAGTTATTAAAAGAGAGTCAACTATTAACTTTCTAGGAGTGATATTAGATGAAAATATATCATGGAAATATCATATTAGATCTATTGAAAATAAAATCTCCAAAAATATTTCAATGCTATATAAATTTAAACCTTTTCTTAATACGGAATCTTTAAAAATTATATATTTCTCATTTATTCATAGTTATCTTTCCTAGTGTAATCTTGCATGGGCAAGTACCAATTATGGGAAGCTCAAAAAAATTTATAGCAAACAAAAACATGCTTGTAGGATTATTTTTGGCGATAACAGAACTGTTAATGGTGAATCTCTTTTAAAGAAACTTAATGTGCTTAATATTTACAAATTTAATATATACCAAGTTATGCTATTTACGTTTAAAACAAAATATGCGTTATCTCCTAATATATTTCAGTCTTACTTTACCGAAATATCTCATAAATATCCCACTAAATTTTCATCTGATAATTTTGTTATTCCAAGATCTTATTTAAAACTCAATTCATTTCAAATTCATTACCGGGGACCATTTATATGGAAAGGTTTTTTAAAAAATATAATTAAAATAAAATTCTTCGAGGCATCTCCTTAGAACAATTCAAAAGAGAATCTAAACGTTTTCTATTAGAAAAAACTTTCGATTTTAAAGATTTCTTCTAAAATCACCTAAAATAATTAAACCTGAAAAAGTCATCACTACTCATTTACTATTGTCTTGTGTATCTTGTTTATTTCTTATTAAAATAAAAATTATATATACTATTAATTTTGAACAGACAAATAACATTTATTCGATTTATTACTTGTGTCTTATATTTGTCGAACTAATATTGTATTGTACTTCAATTTTTAACCTTTTAGTTTTTAACTTGTAAATTTGTGACGTTAATGTAAACGGGGTTTGGCGATAAGACAGTTTATGTCTTCTTCTTGCTCCGGCCAATTTTTATACATAAATGGTTTTTTCTCATTGTAAATTTAATTATACGGCAAAGAAAATATAATAATAATAATAATAAAAAATAATATTAATAATAATAATAGTAATAATAACAATAAAAATAATAAAAAAACAAAACATTTTCACTTCTTTTTTAAATGTTTTTTTTTTTATTAAACTTTTATTTTTATTGGTCCTAATGTTAAAAATGTGATAACTTAATGATTAATAACAGTGGAAATTTAAGGATTTTAGTTAAAAAACTTGTTTTTTCCTACAATTAAGTGAAGTAATTTATGCTCAGTCTAAAAAAAAAAAAGGTACGAGACAAAACGGTAAATACATTATTTCGTAAAAAATTAATATTTTTTACTAAGTACCGTCAAACGGGTTTTTGAGCATTTTTGTAAATAAACTCTTTCGTATAATTTTTTATTTTGAATTTTATTTTTTCGATATAACATTATACCTTTCCTTTATAGGATTTCATTCAAGATAATTTTTTTTTGGTTCTAATAAATATTTTTTTCAAGTCAAAAATGTTATAAATCTCAATCCTTTGTTGGGGGTGACTTTGATAGTTTATTATTTCTTAAAAGCTTATTAATTAAACCATCTTCACGAGTGCCATTAACACTTTTTTTAGAGTTTTACTAAATTACGGCACAATATAAAAATATATTTTTAAGATTTTTCTGGTAAAGATATAAATTTAGACAACAAGATAATACTAACAAAAAAAATTACTAATTGTATAAAAATATTAACTACTAATGTACTTGTTTAACTCCATTTATCAGGTATTTATCAGATAATTAATAAATTTATCAGGTAATCAATAAAGTTTGTGCGGTTTTTCCTAATTCCTATTTACTAACAAAAGTTTTATAAGAAAATGGTTGTTATAGAGAAACAATTTTTTTGTAAATTGAAACTTGTTTCAAGGAGAAACAATTAGTGTGTTTCATAAGTTTTATTAGTGCGATTTAAATTTAAAATTCTTATGTTGAGTATGGCTGTGTCAAATGCGATAATTTGCGCCTGTTTACTTTATGGGTTTAAACTTAACACCAAAGCTGCAGAAGCTTGTCGTAAGATATGCGCTGCTTTTAGGAAAGGTACCATAGCAGAACGGACGGGTCAAAAGTGGTTCAAAAAATTTTCTTGTGGAAATGAAAACCTTGAAGATGAACCAAGATCTGAAAGACCATCCACCATCAACAACGAGGATATCAAGCTGGCAATCGAGCAGAAATCCAGCCAAACATGTCAGGATCTTGCCTTAAGATTTAATGTGAGTGATGAAACTATTCGTTCACATTTGCACCAACTTGGAAAACGTTTGAACTTGAGCAAATGGGTACCTTATGAGTTGAGTGAAACAAACAAGCTACAGCGCTTACCCATCTGTTCTTCATTGCTTTCCCACCACAATTAATAAACTCCGACTAAAAATTCCCCTGCCTTGGGGCTCTTGGTTGAGTAAAGGCTAGAGATAGTGTCTCGATAAAAACACTCATCTTGGGCAGATGTTAACTGCATCCAGCTAAACATCCCCTGCCTTGGGGCTCTTGGTTAAGTAAAGGCTAGTGATGGTGTCTCGATAAAAATACTCATCTTAGGCAGATGTTAACTGCATCCTGCTACTGTCTTGTAGAAGGCCTCCTAGGCAAAGACTTTAGGGGTAAGCAGAAAAATTTTGCTAACCAGCCTCGAACCCCTTCTTCATCTATTAGGCTGGCGTAGATGTAACCTGTGTTACATTGTTTCCTGCCTAGGATGATGAATGCTGGATCTCCTTGACTCTACTCATAGAATTTTGCTTATGCCTCCTTGATAATGGCTATGCAACTCTTCCTGTTATCTCCATATGAGGGTACAGCTCTAAAACTCAGTTTAATGGTTCTGAGGCCGGCTGGTAGTAAGGTTTCCCGAACTCTGTGGTAGCTCTCAGAGAGGCTGATTCCATCAACAGCTGCAAAATATCAGAGTATTAACAGTGCCATGTTGCGCATGGATGGTGTCCCTGTTAATGCTTTTGGTGTGCATTGCCAAGGCCACATAAGGAGCCCTATGTCACGGCTTAGGGTTAATTAACAGGACTGAGACAACTGCATAGCTCATTGATTAGGAGGCTGTGCTCTATCTATGAATGAGTCAAGTTCTCATTAAACCCAAATCATGACCAAAGTAATCAAAAATTTAAAACCTAAAAAACCATCCCCACCACCTAAATATTTTAATATATCTTTTACAAATATTCGCGGTCTACGAAGCAACTTTCCATCAGTTGAGTCTTACCTCCTGCAAAATTCACCAGACTCGCTCGCACTCAGTGAAACAAATTTAAGTTCTGCAATTCCTTCTTCGGATGTCGGTGTTGATGGGTACTATCCTTTGATTCGTAAAGACTCCAATAGTCACATGCTAGGTTTAGGGGTATACATACGCATTAATTCCCCTATTTGTCGTGAAATCAAGTTCGAATCCTTTGACCATTCTTTTATGTGCTTTCGCCTAGCACCTCTTCACTCTATCACCTTTCTCTTTGTTCTTTATCGTTCTCCTTCTTCCCATGATTGCACTCTTTTAGATGTTATCTCTGATCAAATTGATCATGCCCTCTCTCTTTACCCCTCTGCCAATATTGTTGTTGTTGGTGATTTTAATGCCCATCACACTGAATGGCTTGGCTCTAACACCACTGATCCTGCTGGCACTAAAGCCTTTAACTTCTGCGTTTCTCAATCTCTTACTCAGATAGTTAACTTTGTGACTCGTTTTCCTGACAACCCTAATCATTTACCTTCACTCCTTGACTTATGTCTTGTCTCTGACCCTAGCTTATGTTCAGTTTCTCCCTTTTCTCCCTTAGGTGGTTCTGACCATGCAATGATCTCTATAAATCTTTCTTCTCGTACTTTTTTTTTGGGTTCACCTTATCATCGCACCACCTACTACTACCCTAAAGTTGATTGGGATTCCTTTCGTGATTTTCTTCGTGATGGTCCTTGGGCTGATGTTTTTTCTCTCTCAGCTGACAAATGCGCCTCCTACGTAACCTTCTGGATTCAGGCTGGAATGGAAGCTTTTATTCCTTCTCGTAGGTTTCAAGTAAAGCCTCACTCTACTCCATGGTTTTCTCCTTCTTGTGCGGCTGCTATATCCAATCGTAACCATTTTTTTCATCTTTTTCAAAAGAACAACTCTCTTGAGAACAAACGGCTATTTATTATTGCAAGAAATCGATGTAAAAAGGTGCTTCCTGATGCTAAACTCCATTGTTCTCAGTTCACTGGGTCTCGCATCTTATCGCAAAAGTTAGGCTCTAAAGACTTTTGGAAAATCTTCAACAGCATTGTTAACAAGGGTAGATCTAACATTCCATCTCTCATTCATGGGACTGATCTTGTTACCTCTCCCAGGGATAAGGCAGAACTGTTTGCAAAGAACTTTTCTTCTAATTCCACTCTTGAATCTTATGGACATTCTCTTCCTTCCATTCCAGTCAAACAGGTTGACCCATTGTTAGACATTCAAATCACTCCGGCTTCTGTTGCTAAAGTCATATCTCAATTAAACTCGTCTACAGCTTGTGGTCCAGACAACATTCCTGTCACAGTCTTGCAGAATTGTTCTCCAGAACTTTCTTCAATTCTCTCTAAACTATTTAACAAGTGTTTGACTGAGTCTTGTTTTTCTGCTTGTTGGAAAATGGCATCTGTGGTTCCAATATTCAAAAACTCTGGAGAAAATTCTGACCCCTCCAATTATCGTCCGATCGTCTTCTTTCTGTTATTAGCAAGGTCTTTGAGTCTTTGATCAACAAATTCCTCACATCTCATCTTGAGTCAAATAAACTGCTGTCAGACAATCAATACGGTTTTCGATCCTCTCGCTCTACGGCCGACTTGCTAACTGCTGTAACTGAAAGATTTTATCGTGCATTAGATGGAGGCGGTGAGGCTAGGGCTATTGCTCTCGACATATCTAAAGCTTTCGACAAAGTTTGGCATGCTGGTCTTCTCCATAAGCTTGCTTCATATGGTGTTTCTGGGAAAGTTTTTGAGATTATCAAATCATTTCTTTCTGACCGGTTTATTAAAGTCATCCTTGAAGGCCAACACTCTTCTTTATTTCCAGTAACATCTGGGGTTCCCCAAGGTTCCATCCTGGGCCCTGTTTTGTTTCTTATCTACATAAACGATCTTCCTGACAACCTTTCATCTAAAGTAGCTCTTTTTGCTGATGACTCAACTTTATACTCCTGTCTTGACAAAAAGTCTTCTCTTTTCGATCGCCTAGAACAAGCAGCTGATCTTGAATCTGATCTCACTTCGGTGGTAGATTGGGGTTCACAGTGGCTTGTGAGTTTCAACTCTAAAAAAACCCAATTGCTTACTGCAAACAACTACCGTAATATGGTCAACATTTCTATATTAATGAATGGCAATCCTCTTACTGAGTCGTCCTCTTTACGTCTTCTTGGATTATCGCTTACTACTGACCTTTCATGGAAACCATATATACAATCGATTGCTAAATTAGCTTCTGCTAAGGTTGCTTCTCTTTATCGTGTTCGCCATTTCCTTACTTCTGATTCCATTCTCTACCTCTACAAATCTCTTATTCGTCCCTGTATGGAATACTGTTGTCATATTTGGGCTGGTTCTTCTAACGATTCACTTTCTCTTTTTGACAAGGTCCAAAAACGCATTGTAAATGTTGTTGGACCTGGACTATCTGCTAAGCTTGAACCTCTTTCCCATCGTCGTAAAGTTGCATCTCTTTCTTTTTTCTACAGATACTATCATGGTCACTGCTCAAAGGAGTTATCATCTCTAGTTCCATCAACTAAAATTCATTCTCGTTTTACTCGTCATTCAGCTAAGTCTCATTCGTTTACTGTATCTGTCCCTGCATGCTCTAAAAACTTTTATTCATCTAGTTTTTTTTCCCCGCACTTCAATCCTTTGGAACTCTCTTCCATCTTCATGTTTTCCTGACTCATACAACCTTCAACTTTTCAAGTCTTTTGTCAACCGTTTCCTTGCTCTATAACTCTGTTCTTTTTTTTTTCCTAGTAACTCCCAACTTAATAGTGGTTGCTTGCAGCCTTGTTGGGAGTGAATGCAAATAAAATAAAAAAAAAAAAAAAACTTAGTGCCATTTTTTGACCGGATGTTGACGTGCGACGAAAAATGTATTATGTACTGCAACAAAAAACGATCATATCATTGGTTAGCCAGCAGCGATCCAGTACCGATGACTCCTAAACCACGTATTCTCCAACAAAAGGTTTTACTGTGTGTATGGTGGACTAAAGCAGGTAACGTTCACTATGAGTTGCTACCAAGTGAACAAACCATTAGTGCTGAGATATATATTAGCCCAACTGGACAGAGTTTTGGTTGCTCTTTACCAAAAACAAGCAGCTTTGGCGAACAGAAAAGGTGTTGTATTTCACCAGGACAACGCCAGACCGCACACGGCAAAAATCACGTGGGAAACTCTTGCACGTTTATAATGGGAGATTCTACCTCACCCTCTGTATTCACCAGACCTTGCCCCAAGCGACTATTACCTATTTTTGGCTCTAGATAAACATATGAGGGATCGATAGTTTCGAAATAGAGAAGATCTCGAAAATAAGCTAAATCAATTTTTTTGCTCCCAAACTCAAGACTTTTATAAAAATGAAATATATAAGCTTGTTTCACGATGGGAGAAAGTCATTCTTGCTGAAGGAAATTATTTTTCAAAATAAACTTTACTAAAACCGTTTTTTTGTGTATTTATTTAAAACCTCAACAACCTGTCGAATGTAATTCAATTTCACACTTTTTTCAGTTTTTCCAGGGTAGACAACATGTCTACCCTGCATGTCAATGCAGGGTAGACATGTTGAATTTAAAGTTGTTCTTAAATTTTAAATCAGTAACACCCATTCTGTCTAGATTCTTTGCTAGCAGACGTATATCTAACTTATCCAAAGGTAGCTTCCAATCTGTCAGGATGCTAATAATTTGCAGAATCTTTTCTTCGGTATGGGGCTGTAATATGGTCTGCCCTCCAAAGTTTTTCATATGTCTTAGTTTACTCTTGTTGTGCAGAGTACCATATAACTTGGATGTCTTAAAAATTGATATTCTGTTAGTTGAGATATCTAACAAGGCATTTTGCATGGCTTCTTCTGGATACAATGCATAAGAACAATTACCTGGTTTACGTTTATAAGTTCTCATGATTTCTTCTGCAATTTTTCATGTGATGTTTTATGTCTTAATGTTTTTTTTTACTAGAAATAATCGTTTGAAACATTAAATAACCACAATAAGATTAAAATTATTTGAAAAAGTGAAAAACTTATTTTGTATTTTCTGCAAATGTCATTTGGAGTAACCAAAAATGAGTGGTATATTACAGTGGTATTTTAACTGGAATATACCACTTGAACATCTAAGTATAGATTTTTAGAAAAAAATGTATTCCAAAAAATTAAAATCATATGTTTTTTGGCATTTTTTTGGTAAATGCACTATTTGCTTTTACAGTATTTGCTATTAGCAGTATTTGCTTTTGTATATCAAGAAGAACGGACGCACTTTTTCTTTGCTCAAAAGGTTTATTAAAATTTTCTGAAAATGTCTAAAAATTTAAATATGACACAAATTAAAGAACTTCTTGAAGCGCATGAGAAAACGATTATGAAACTTTTCAGTGAAAAATTTGAAAGACTAGAAAACTAGCTATGTGTAATGCAAGACAATAAAAAATAAAAAACAAAGCCACTGAATTGAAGAAATCCGTTGAGTTTATAAGTGATAAATATAAAAACATCCTTATAGAATTAGCTGAAATTAAAAAAACAGAAAGTTTATGTCGCCAAGAAAGAGATAGTAACAAAAAATTAGAAAACGATGATTTTATAAAAGATAAACTAGCAACTAAACTCGAACTCGATAAACTCGAACTCGAAGATAAACTTGATAAACTCGAACTCGATAAACTCGAACTCGATAAACTCGAACTCCAAGATCGGAGTAGGAGAAACAAATTAAGATTTACTCGCATAAAAGAAATTGATAATGAATCTTGGAAAGACAGTGAAAACAAAATACAAGAACTTATTAAGTCTAAGCTTGGTTTAAATCATGATGTCGTCATTGAAAAGAGCGCATCGAGTTGGTAAAAAAGAAAAATATAAAAACAGATCCTTTATAGTTAAATATCTTAATTTTAAAGATAAAAATATGATATTAGAAAACTACATTAAACTAAAATTGTGGAATCAATAATTAGTATTTCGCACTTATGCCAATTCGCACTTATGTCAGTTCGCACTTATGCCAATGTTTGCAAATTTATTTGGCGCACTTATGCCGATTCGCAGTTACGCCAGTTCGCACTTAAACCAGTTTTTGTAACTGATTCGCACTTATTCCAGTTTGCACTTATGCCAATTCGCACTTATGCCAATGTTTGAAAAATGTTTTGGCGCACTTATGCCAATTCGCACATATGCCAGTTCGCACTTATGCCAGTTTTTGCAACGCTTCGCACTTTTGTCAGTTCACACATATGCAAATCACAGGGAAAATAAAAAATAAAGCTACTTCGCTACCACATACATTGATAATTGGAAAAACTATATTAACTGAATCAAATGATATTGCAATCGAATTGAATAAACATTTTACAACTATAGGAAAAAAATTATCTAACAGTATTCCAAATATAAACGATAAACACGTTAATGATGCACAAAATCTCAGTAATTCAAGCATAAATTATACTGAGTTAACTTATAACGAATTTGATGATGCTTTTAAATCATTAAAAAAAATAAGGCAACAAGATATCATGGCATTAATGGAAATATTATAATCGACTCTTACGACGTTATCAAAAACATTCTTTATAAAATATTTAGAGCGTCTATAATTCAAGGATCTTTTCCAGATCATCTAAAGATAGCAAAGATAATCACGGTTTTAAAGACCGGCGAACATATTAATAAGAATAACTATCGCCCTATTTCAATTCTTCCATTTTTCTCAAAAATTATCGAGAGGATAATGTATAACCGAATCTATACATACCTTATTGAAAATAAATTGCTTTATGAAAATCAATTTGGGTTTAAAAGGAACAATTCAACTGAGCACGCCATTCTCCAACTTACACGCAACATCTCCGAATCTTTTAAAAACGGTCAATTTACATTAGAAGTTTTTATAGACCTGTTCAATGCTTTTGACACTGTTGATCACGAGATCTTGTTAAAAAAACTATTATCTTATAGTATAATAGATAAAACATTAAACTTGTTCAAAAGCTATTTAACTAACCGCAAACAATTTGTTTACAATGAAAGCTCTGACTCTCAGATTTTAATGAATATTACATGCGGTGTTCCGAAAGGATCTATATTTGGACCACTTCTTTTTTTAATATATATTAATGATCTTAATAAAACCTCAAACTTAACATCAATAATCTTTGCTGATGACACAAACTTGTGACTTCAGCATACTTTTTAATAATATGACAAACGAGTTTTAAAAAGTTTCTTATTGGTTTAAAATAAATAAATCTCTGAACATTGACAAAACTAAATGGACCCTTTTCCATCCACGCTCAAAAAAAAATTGCTAACTCTAATGGCCGACCTTTTTTTTGACAATATCGTTATTAAAAGAGAAAAAGTTGTAAAGTTTTCAGGAGTGTATATTGATAAAAATCTATCTTGGAAAAATCATATTGACAGTGCCTCCTCAAAAGTTCCAAAATCTATTGGCATTATATATAAAGCTAGAGACATATTAAACAAACAGCAACTAACGCAGCTATACTATTTCTTTATTAATTGCCACATCAATTATGCAAATACAGTATGGGGTAGCAATAATAAAATAAAACTTAAATCTATTTGTCATCATCAGAAACACGCAGCTCGCGTAATAAATTTTAAAAACCGTTTTACGCCCTCTAAGCCAAGTCTGCAGGAAACGAAAGTCTTATATATTTACCAACTAAAAGTATATAACATTTTATGCTTTATGTTTAAATGTAAACAAAACTTATCTCCTTGTGTATTTAAAAATCTTTGTGTATTAAAACCCAAAAATAAGTATGATATACGTACTGATAATTATCTTAATGCCCCTTTTTGTCGGAATAAGTATACTTAATTTTGTATTTCTTATCGTGGTCCATATCTATGGAACAAAATAGTTATACCTAACATAGATTTTTCTATTAATTTGACTTATAATTGTTTCCAACAAAAATTAAAATAAATCATTTTTCCTCTAGAAAACATCTTTATTTACTTCTAACAATTATATATTTTTCAGTTTTATCTTAATTATGTAAATTTTACTGTAATCTATATAACTTGACTACGGAAATAGTAAATTTATATTATTTAAATATTGTTGAAACTATAAATTGTACAGGGTTTCGTGATAAAATTTATATGATCTTCTAGAAGTCCTTCCATTAATCTTTTATGTACATAAATTACTGTAAAGAATTACTATGGTAAAAAAAAAAAAAAAGTAAAAATCGTTATTTTTTCATCAAAGTCACCCCGCGTATCAAATTGCCCGTTTTACGGCAATGCTTTTATATGATACTTAACAAAATGGATTTTTGATGTTTTGTAAAAACAACTTAAAGCAAAAAATATATTTTCGGATCATATCATGCCGCAGAAAAAGTTGAGCAAACAAAAGTGTTTAATAAAATTGAAATAGTAAGTCTGTAAAATATTCTAAAATTATATAATTTTTATAAATTATCATGAACCAACAAAATATCTAATTGTTGTTTTTTTGAATCGTTTGCTACACATTTTTCACAATGTTCTTTGAATGCTGCTTTTTCAAAATGGCACATGCAATTGTCACATCTTTTTGATCTTTCTTCACATAAAAACTCAACAATTTCATTTAAACCAATCAAAATGCACATAACATTCATCATAATAAGAACAGAAACATCAGCATCATGACTATGCCATAAAAGTAATCGCAAAATCAAATTTGGTAAATTCACTAAAAACATACATCCACAAATATAGGAAGTTTTACATGAAAAGCCAGAGACTCTGCCAGGAAATTTATTTACATACAACTCATAAAGAGCCATAGTAGGAAGAAATAAGTTTATACTTGCAAAAACCAAAGTAAGTATTAAAAATACTTTAGGTACTCCTCTGGGTTCAAAAAGCAACTCCAGCAAATCCATGCTATCAAAAAGATCCAAAGTTACTTTTGATGCTAGTGAAGAAATATACAATTTACGATCTTGGCTTGTGTTTGCACTGTGATAACCAAATATCATTAACAAAAAAACAATTGGAGTACTTGCCAATGATACTTTTAATAAGTTATGTCCGAAGAAATCGCTCTTCTTAAATTTTGGAGGAAACGTGTTAAATAAAACAACAATTCTTGGAAGTAAAAAAATAATATAAGTTATCCAAGCAAAAAAAGCATATTTTATTTCATCAGAAAATTCTCTAGGGTTTACGGGGTCGACTCCATACAAGCTTTTCTTTTTAAACTTTTTATGTAGATAAAATAAAACAAATGTCCAAATACCAACAACATATGCATCTCCGACATACCATGCCCACCATTTTATATCATAAGACAAGGTTAAATACTTGTTCAGCAAAAACCCTTGAAATATAATTACAGTAATACAACCCAACTTTGCCAACAAAGATAGCTTGTACATTTTTATTATTTCTAAAATGAAAAAATATTTTTATTTCTAATTTTATAAATATATAACTTTATTTTTATGTAACTCTATATTTTAAGTCGGATAATATAATAATTACCCGAGTTAAAATTTAGTATAAATATGCATAATACTTGCAATATGCAAGATGGTAAGTAAGGACTATGCATAGAGACGATTATAGGGTTGTATGGGGTGTGTGCTCCACCCCCCAAATAAGGCGGTTTTTAAGTTATAGTCGGTACTTTGACGAATTTAGTCGGCTAGTCGGTATTTGACACAATTCAGTTGAAATTTTAGTTTTAAGGACCTTTTTTTTTTTAAAGAACCAGTCGGTACTTTTTAAGAAATTCAAGAATCATTCCCCCCCCCCTACCTAATCATTTTACTCGTATAATTGCCATTGACCATGTACATTCTATGTTGACTATGTATAGTCTAAAGTTGATTTAACTATAGGTGTTCACTATATTCATTAATATTTAAAAAGAAATTGCATGGGTGTATAGGAGCGTCCAAATTTAATTCACTTTAATAAACAACTAAAACAGTTTAAAAAACATCAATTAGGTTTTATATAATTTAATTTATTGAGATATATTAGGGTAAGAAAATTGTATTGCTATTTTTACTTTTATTCGATAAATAAACATCGTTATCAACTTTGTTTTAAAAGAGTTATTGTACAAATAAAACATTAAAAAAATTATCTGTTAATCAGATATCTAAATATTTAATAAAAACTATAATAAACTATTTCTTAATTCGATACAAAATACTGAATAGGATGTAAAGCGCAAAAAACGGGTATGGGGTTTTAAAAGTCATTTTGAATTTAATGGAACAGAAAAGAGTAAATATATAAGAAGAAAAAACTCTTAGTTAAATTTTGTATTTTGTTTTCTGTAAATCTTCTCAACGTGGATGGTTTAAAGGTTAATTTCAGCGCACAAAAACGCGTGGGCTATCCACAAAGGCGCGTGAGATGTCCACAAAAATGTGCGTGCTGATATCTATTAAATTTTTTAATTTTTTAATTTGGCTGAGAGGGATTATAAAAGAGGAAAACGCAAGGCTACAGGTTTTGATCTACTCGAACCAATAAGATAAATAAAATAGGAAACAATACTTTTAACATTAGCGTATCTAACTGCTTTGAAAAACATTTTCCACATTAAACAGTATCTACAATGTTAATAGTTTAACTACATAAAACGCTTTAAGTAAGTATTATCAGGATAACTCTTGAATAAAAGGTAGATTTATAAATTATAAATAATAGTAAAGAGAACAAAGAAGTACTGAAGTAGCTGAACTATATTAAAGAAAGCAAACTAGTGAACCTTTTTCTATGGAATATCTACCCTTCGTCAGGACCGACGAGAGGGGGTCAATATATATTTTTTAATGCACCAAATATAAATATATATATTTTTAGTGCACTATAAATATAACTTTCAGTGACACAAAATATAACTTTCAGTGACACAAAATATAACTTTCAGTGACACAAAATATAACTTTCAGTGACACAAAATATAACTTTCAGTGACACATTCATTGAAGTAGTTGAAGCATATATAACTATTCAACAACAAACGAACTTCTTTTTTTAACGTTTTAACTAGAGACTACTTTTAGTATCCTGCCCAAGGCCTCTTTTAGTACATTTTCTTGTTTCATTCTTTCAAATTTTTAATAACATCCACTCAATCTTTGGAAAAGTCTTTGCAGTTTTCCCTTTCTATTTAAAATATAAGTTTGTCTTGTTTCCACAAATTGCAGTCAGATTTATGTTTAAATTCATAAAATTCTTTCAATTGAACGTGAAACTCTTTTTTCAAAAATAGCTATATCTATTGACTATATCTCTTGACTAACTATTGAAGCAATAGAAAAAAAATCCATCTCCTACTTTTTAAAAGAAGTCTTGCATTTTACTTAATATAATACAAAACATTTTTTGCATTTTCTATTATTATTTTTATCACTATTTAAATTACTTTCTATTATTATTTTCTTGTGTTAGATGTTTAAATTTTGAATAATCAATATTCCGGCAAGTTGTAATTTATTGTCTAAGTTTTGACCGATTATTTACATGTCTCTAAAGAAAAGGAAATTGTCTCAAAATTTAAAAAATTTAAAAATCTTTTAATTTTGAGACAAACACCATCCAATAACCCCATGTTTAAGGGGAACTAATTTTGAGACAAACACCATCCAATAACCCCATTTTTAAGGGGATCTAACTTTTGCAGAAAATATTATATTTTTAAAAGTTGTTTCTAAATTTTAAATTAAATTTAGAATTGAATTTAAAATTTATCATAGTATTTCGGCGCTTAAAAGATTCAGCTATAAAATTTGAACTGAAAACATCTAAAAAAAAAAAAAAAAAAAAAGAAGTATTGCAGCGAATATGCTTACTGTTTACCTTAAAAGTTCTTTAAAAATGTTTATATACGCACATTAGAAGTAAATGCAAGAGTTTTATCTATTAAAACTAGGTAACTTTAAAGTATAGTTTAAATTCCAACCATTTGTATGTTTTTTTTAGTTATAGTCAATTCACTGAGAAGGACATTTAATTAGCCTCATAATTTTAGAGTAGAAGTTATCATTGGAACTTGATATAAAGTATTGCATTAAAGTTAAAAAGTGTTAGCAACTTTTGAGCTAAATGCAACCACAAAGTTATAGGAAATGCGGAAATGCGAAATTTTTCAACGGATTAAATGCCTGATTAAAGTGTGATTATACGATTTGCTTTAGTACATGGATTAACGTAATAAGAGAGAATATCTAAAGCGCTGCTAGATTGACAGAGGGTTTGGATTGGGGCAACGATATGGTTAAGCTGTGTCCACAAAATTGATTTCACTGGATTAAATTTATTTATCCCACTTCCCGATTGGATTTGGTTACCTTATTAAAAATTTACCTTATTAAACATTTACTAAGGCTCACAAAAAATAATAATGGGAAAATAAAAAAAAATTATTAAGTATAAGTATGTAGTTAAATAAGAAACGCATTTTTAAAAACAAAGTAAACTTACACACTATCTTTAAACAAGGAGTCGAATTGGCTGAAGGGAGAACAAAATTAAATACATCATTTTTCAAAGAACAGTCTTAATAATAATATAACATATATTTCTATTAAACACCGCGTAATTATCATAATTTAAAGTTCAATCGCATTTCACGTTTAACAAAAATTCACTAATCATACTCCACGTTTAACAAAAATTATCCAATGGTATTGTTTCAAAAAGTCATAAACAATTTAAGCATTGAAAATTAAAGATGAAAGTTTAAAAAGTTCGTAAACAATATTTTTGTTGTGCTCTTTGAACAACTAATAATAACTTTCTAGATTAGAATTTAATTAATATTTTGTCTAGATAAGGATCGGTAGTATTTTTGCCGGATTTAAAAAAAGAAATTTTATATCTTCATATTTAGAATATAGCAAAATTGCTTTTAAATCCAGCAAAAATACACCAACACAAAATAACAGCCAGGAGGGATTTATTAAGTGTCTGTCCAAAAGAACATTCTTAAAGAATGTAACAAACCTAGAGCTGAACAGGACAGCAAAAAATAAGTTTCAAACAGGTAGTAAAGATTGTCTAAAACTTATATAATTATACCTATAATTGTGCAAGTGCTAGAAACAATTACTTCACCTTTATCGTGATTTTTGTTGTAATTAACTTCTTAATTGATCGAATAGCTGTTAAAAAACCTACCCAATAAACTTTTGAGAGATTAACCCACTTCGATCAATCACAGCTTTCGAAGCTTACAAATAACATTTCAATTTTTTTCATTTTTTTTGCAAAAACGCCATTTTAATAGTTGTACAACATTTTTAGCTTCGTTCTCCCTCTAGCTATTACATCTCATTGCTTTAAATAGTTTTAAATTTGCTTCTTAAGAGAAAGTTACCAAATTATTTTTTTAGCTAAAATATTTACCTAAATGCAAAAATGTATACTTGATAAGCGAAGATCAGCTACAAAATTGCAAGTAACGTAAATTATTAATATTTAAAATTACTTCTAGATTTTCAAGCTTAAAACCATTAAAAAGTTTTGAATAATTTAACTATTTCGCATTTATATATTCAATAGTATTAGAAAACTTTGCAACCTGTTTTATAATTTAAGAGTTGTTAATTGTAGCTAGCAAAGAAATAAAAACATTTAAGACAAATTGCTTTCCGAATGTTGGTGCCAGTTGGCATACTGTGGAAAGAAAGAAAAAATTCAACAAAAATGGCCTTTAATAAACTATTACAAATCAAAATGAAACTAATGAAAAACATTGATGTTAGTATAACCTATACGAACTTTATAACCCAAAGTTGTGAAAAAGGATAAATTTGTAAGTTGAATAATACAAAAGTTAAAAATTAAGGTTAGTGCTTACCTCACTTTCCAGTTATTCGAATCAATCATCAGACTACTAAAATAAGACCAGTATTTAATGGATCAGCCAAATACGACGGATTACCACTCAACGACATCCTCTAGGGTCCAAAACGTCAGCCAGAATTATTTAAGTGGTACTCCGGTTTCAACTATATTCTCTGGCTGTGATAAGCGATATAGCAAAGATGTATTTAGAAATACACCGTTTTAAAGATGAAAGAAAATTTCAAAGACTTTTGTGGAGAGAAATAGATCAAAACAAAGAGCTGAATATTTATAAATACAAACGTGCAGCTTTTGGAACTAATTCATATCCATTTATAGCTGAGTTCGCGTCACAAAAAAATTAAAAATAAAAACATGATATGATATCCGTTAGCAGCATAGACAGTTTTAATATTGACATACATGGACGATAGTATTGACTCCGATGAGAAGAAAGGCGTTGAGTTTTAGAAGCTGTTAGCCACAGTTTGGAATTGAAATGCACGCACACAGATGGTTGTCAGTTTCTGAGATTTGCTTTCCGAATGTTGAAATTTAGTTGGAATCTCTGTTAAAAGTATCAAAAAAAATTCCAACCAAAGATAGATCTGAACAAGTAAATTCGGATAAAAGTGAACTGCCTTCTGTGAAAGTATTAGAAATTATGTCGTTATCAAAAAATGATGTTTCCATTTTTAAGTACCAAGTACCTGATGAATAATTCTTATTTCCTAAAAAAAACTTCTTGAAAAAGATAATAACGTTGTTTGACTCACTTGGATTTTTGTCACCATACATGATAAAAGCAAAAACATTTTTATTGCAGATGTGGACCAATGGAATTGGCTGTAATTAGTTGGATCCTAAACTATCTAAACTAGCAGCTAAATGGTTCCAAAAGTTAAAGATTTACAAGATGTAAAAACACCAAGGTGTATCCAAAATCGTAAAACGAGTCCGGTGCTATTTTCGTGACACACATATACAGATACTTCAAAATTAGCATATGGTGTACGCTTGACATCAGTATGATAATGGCAAAAGTTTTATCAAGCTTATTGCAGCAAAATTGATTATGACACCTCTATCATCAGTAAGCATGCCACCATTAGAACTACTTGGTGTAACATTAGCATTAAAATTAGGTTGCAGTGTCTCAGAAACCCGCAAAGTTGATATTGAAGAAATAGTATTTTGGACGGACAGCATGAATGTGATCTGATGGATACATAATCAAAGTAGAAGATTCGGCTAATAAAATTGGAGGAACTCATTAAAAATATAATTTACGGTTCTAGAAAACTCTTCTAAAAATAGTTTATTAGGAACGCCACAAGAGCAAGAATAGAAAGAATAGTCTTAATAAAGGAGAAGTAATAATAGTTAATTATTTGAGTTTTAATTGACGATAAGACAAATAATGTCTTTTTCCCTGCAATCCATATTAATATTAAAATATTGATTGTATTTATATATTTATACGGCAAAGCATAAAAGTAACAAAAAAAAAACTATCGTATTTAAAAGTTGTGTTGAAATTTATTAAAGTTTGAATAATGCATTTTATTAATTATTTTATGGTTTATTCTATATTCTTACTTTCTATATTGTCTCCTTATTCTTGCTATTTTGATATTAACTCATAGTTAGAACTTAAAAACAAGTAAATACGACTTATACATAAACTACATTTGTATGAGAACATTATTAGGTGGCCATTATAAACTGTTATGTTTTTTTTTTTTTTTTTTTTTTTTTTTTTTTTTTTTTTTGCCAAATAATTTTTTAATAATACAAATTTTAACATATTACAAATTTAGCGGCAGGACTTCTAGAAGATCATGTGGATCTTATCATGAAGCCCTTTACAATGCTTTTTAGTATCGAGTATAATATAATATAAATACGTAATATAATGAAGTTATAAAAATTCGTAAAATAACAAAAAATATGAAGTTTAACAAAACATTAAATACATAAGTTTGCAAAAAACTCATGGAAATATTCGTAAATAGTAAAACATAATACAATAAAGTATAATATATCAGCAATAAATTGATAAAAACTCAAAAATCGATAAAGATGTTATTATGATGTTAGATAAATTCGTCGTATTTAGTTTTGCAAAAAGGAGCATTAAGAATGTTGTCAATTCGTAAATTATATTTGTTTTTCGGTTTTAAAGAATAAAGATATTGAAATACCTGTGGAGATAAATTTTCTTTACACTTGAACATAAAGCATAAAATATTAAAAATATTAAGTTGATAAACATTCAAAGCTTTCATATCTTTAAGAAGTGGCGCAGAGTGAGTAAGACGATTTTTAAAATTAATTGCGCGAGCTGCGTGTTTCTGATGATTAAAAAGAGTTTTAAGTTTTGTCTTTTGAGTGCTTCCCCATATAATATTTGCATAGTCTATATGACAGTGAACAAATGAATAGTACAACTGAGTCAGCTGCCGTTTATTTAGTATGTTTCTAGCTTCTATGTTTATCATGGCCGCCTAGTAATTTTGATCATTTTGATAAACAATCTCATTTTTTTCATAAGAGAAATAAAAAATTGTTATTTTAAGTAAACTTGTTGCTTCAGATAAAATTTTAGTTCATAATAATCAGTTCATTTTGTTGCTAATGGCAACGCTGTCATTTTTGACATTTTTTATGATGTCATCTTGTTACCAATCTTGTCACTGTGCACTTTTTTGTTTGTTATAGGAGTTTTTTTAATTTGTTTTTTTAAATTTTTATTTTTAACATATAGGGGAGAGTTTTAAAAATTGGAATACCTAAGAAATAAATATTTTTTAATCGAAATAGCTTAACTATGAAAATGTTTATGATTTGATTAAATGCAAACAGACAACCCTATTGTACTTGTAGCCACAACTTTACCTAATGGATTGCACTGGTATTGAAAATTCAGTTTTATCAAGGCATTTTATTTCAATCAAGGCATTTTGTTTTAATCATGGCATTTTGTTTTAATCAAGGCATTTTGTTTCCATCAAGATATTTTGTTTCCATTAAGGCATTTTATTTCAATCAAGGCAACGAGTTTCCTATATTGGAACATTTTTATTCCTTAATTGGAACAGTTTTTTTAAAAAACTTCTTTTAAAAAACCCATTAAAACAGCAAAATCAATTAAAAATAAATTTCAATTCTTGAGTGTCAATTTTAAACCTCTACTAAAATTAAAGTTGCTCGAATAAAAAGAAATCCTACAAAAAATAAATTGTAAAAAAACCTTATCTATTATGGCTTTCTTTTATTTTATTAATTGAAAATCACTAAACAAAGTTTTATTTTTGATGTGCGTAATTTTAACTATTTGCTTTTAAATTGTGTCTAAACTATTTCTTCAACTCTTTGATTTTATCACTGATTGGGTAAGGAAAACTTTCCGATTAAAACTAAATAATAATCAAGTCTTTTTCTACCCAACTCATAGGGTTTAACAGTTTTGTTATTAGGAAACATTGATATAGTAGACCATTCTCATTACACAACTTCAATTAGATATTGTATTGCATTTTTCAACCCTTTGATTTAATCGCTTAGTAGGTAACAAAAATTTTCTGGTTCCGATTAACTAAACTTTGGAATACTTAGTTATATCACTGCAATATCATGTTTCCAACAACTTATAAGATTAGCCTCTCTAATGCGATGGGATACAATATTACATATTATATCCCATCGTATTAAACACGAAAAACTGTATATCCTATTGCAGAAGAGTTTACTTGGAGCAATCAATATAATGTAAATACAATATTTGATCACCTAAAAAAATTGCGCAAAAAAGCTTTAAAGTAAATGTACACATTTTGTAAAGTACAATTTTCAAAAACTCTCGGATGCAGAAAATAAAAAGTTTTACTAAAAAAAACAACAATGTAACTATGATAACAGTGAATAATAAAAGCGGAACAAATAAGTTTTCTATTCTACAGTTTGGTTATTCTAGTCGTGAATGTTGCAATTTTTAAAATATAGATTTGTAAATATATTACAAATCTATATTTATCAAAATTACGCGACTGTTTCCTAGTATGATCCCGAGACTTTGCTAACTGGAAGAATACGCTTTAAATTTGAATCTTTAACTTATAACTTCCGTATAATGCGTTAAAATATTAGGCACTTTAACAGGTATGCAGTAACACGAATATACAGTATTGGGCAAAACATTTGCAACCAACATCAAACAATGCTAAAAAGTGTTCCTAATTTTACATGTCTTAAAAAAAAACGAACTATATTACCACAGCAAACAGTTCAGGAGTCTGGAGTCATAGCATTCCATGACATGAGCAATCAGCTGACAGGTGACAGCACACAGGCAGAATATGGTTTGACAAGTGCCATTTTGCAGCGAACAAAACAAGTGCTACTTTTTTGGTTTTTTAGTCTGGTCTGTGTCAACGTCACGGAGGTTTTTTTAATAATTAAAAAAAGTATCCAGAAGTTTCCAGAAGAAGCGTCTGAAAGCATCCAGAAGCATCTGGAAGCGTCCAGAAGCATCTAGAAGCATCCAGAAGTATCCAGAAACATTCAGAAGCATCCAAAAGCATCCAGAAGCTCCCAGAAGCATCAAAAAGAAGCATCTAGAATCTTTCAAAACAGGTTCACACAGGTTCATTTTACTATATAAGAGACATATAAACCGAATGTAATTCAGTCAGTATATGGAAGTCAATCGGACCGAACAATCAGATGACATGCTGTTGAAGCCGGATTGTTTTCTCGACGTCCTGCAAAGAAACCGCTGATTTCACTAAGAAAAGACTCCTGTTTGCTAAATCTTATATTGACTGGAATGTGCAGAAATGGCGAACTGTTCTGTTCAGTGATGAATCGAAGTTCAACATCATTGGGAGCGATGGCATTTGCCGTGTACGTCGACCAGCCAAAAAACGCCTCGATTTACGTTACTGTCATAAGACCGTGAAGCATGGTGGAGGCAATGTAATGGTCTGGGGGTGTTTTTCTGCTAACGGTCTAGATCCAATACATCGAATCGATGGAATAAAGGACCGTTTTGTGTATAAAAATATCCTGAAAGATGTTATGTTACCTCATGCTGAATGAAATATGCCAATAAAATAGGTTTTTCAGCAAGACAACAATCCGAAACACACTGCAAAAGTAGCCAAGCAGTGGTTTCAAGACAACCACCTATCGGTAATGGATTGGCCGCCTCAGTCTCCGGATCTCAACCCTATCGAGAACCTGTGGGAGATCGTCAACCGCAGAACTAATCGTGAAGGTGTTCGTAATAAGGATCAACTGTTTGAACAAATCCAAAAGATCTGGGCAGCGATTCCACAAAGTTTCATTGATCACTTGATCGAATCTATGTCTCGAAGATGCAAGTCTGTGATCGACAACAAAGGATTCGCCACGAAATATTGATAGCGAAATACAGCTTGGTCAACATTTTGTGGAGTTGCACTTGTTTTGTCCAGAAGGAAATCAACTTCTTTGAATACTTTTGATTAACTTATTAATTTTCGTGTAAATTAAACTGAAAAAATGCAGCACTTTTATTTGGTTGCACTTGTTTTGTCCGATACTGTAAATATAGATCTAGTTTTGATACAAAGTTTAATTAAAAAACTTCAAAATTTGTTCAAAGAATCCAACATGCAAGGTTGAAAAAAATAAGCTTAGTTTTGTTTTCTATTAACCATGACTTTTAATTCCTCGTTTATCATTTTGGGAGTAGCACCACAGATATAATATTTTTGTGTACAACAACATAAGTCAGATAGAGCATTGCATACTTTTACGTCTGTCATCGTGAGTAACAGGTTGCGTGCTTCACTATAAATTTAGATTCACCAACAGTACGCAGAGTTGGAAGAATCTAAAATAATTTCCTATTATCGTTAAAACCTCAAGTTGTTATTTAAAACCTCATACAATGTTGTTATTAAAACATCAAGTTATTATCAATGAGGGATTGTTATTTTAAAAGTATCATCAGCTATTCTATTTCGTAATAATGAAATTTGTCCACCTATCTTGTATAAAGCGATTTACAATGCGCTGTTCTAATTTTAACAACTCTTCCCTATTTTCAAATGAGTGAAAATATCGTTACTGGAATATTTCTTTTCATTTTAGGGTAAAAATAATTTAATTTCGTGTAATTTTTTTCAAAGTTATGGTTATTAAGGCAGTTTTTTAACTGCTAAAACGTGTTATTTTATTTTAGATATGAGTGAAAAAAATTGTCGAAATCAGGGCACTCCTAACACTAATTTTTCTAATTAAGAAATTGCCAGAAGGTGCGGCATTTCGGGGAATCTGCAAAAAATGTAGAAAAATCTGGCTAGTTTGGAGAACTACACCAAAGCCGGTTGTAAATGTGGAAAAAAAGAGAATTCTAACACTAAGGAATATAAAGGGGGTATACAGTAAAAAATTGTAGTTTACGTAAGAACACCAAACAAGCCTTGGAAGCAGAAAAGCAATGTAGCTATAAAACAAAATTAAGAAAAAGAGATGTTAAAAATAATACAAAATAGTTTCTGTGATCAATATAAAACATTAGTCGGTGCAATGTAAAAAAGTGAAAGATTTTTATTTTTATTTGTTTATTATTTTTTTTTTTTTACTTGCATTTTTTTCAAAATTATGTTTTTCAGGCTGAAGACGGAGATATTTTCAAAACTAATTATCAAACTGATTTGAAATTTGGCCCACTTATTTATTGCATTAGTATTTACATCATACGCTAGAGTAATCTTTACTGCTTCTCTCGTTTGGTAATTTTTAAAGATTTTGTGCCCTTAATTACCCCATTTTTAAAAAAATGCTAATATTTTATTGAGTTTTAGACCTAACTTGAATCTTTTATATTACCAGCTAAAATTTCAATCATAAATTATAAAAGATTGCTAAAAATCTGTCACCCTTTACCCCATTTTTTGATCTTTAATAATTAATAAACAATAACTAAATTAAAAAAAAATTTTAGCGCGTTTTGCAAATGCATTTGCAAAACGCGCTTAGTCCGAGTAAACTGATTTTGAGAAAACAACAAAAAATTAAACTACTTTTAGTTGCGCATCAACAGAAATTTATATTTTCTTTGTCCATTTTTAGAATTAAAATTTTTTTCATTGGTCCAATATTTAAATAGATGATAGATTTAAGTATATAGAAGGTGGAAATAGAATTAACTCAAAATTTTTATTTTCTGTGATTTAGCGCGTTTTGCAGATGGGCTCCTCAATTGTTAAAGTTGAAATTTTCTTTATAGTTACTACCACCTTAACCAAGATTAAAAATAGACAGGTCACCAAAAAATGGTTTAGTCCAGTTGAAAGAAAAATCATTATGCAGTACGGGGCATCAAGTCATGCAACTAAATCAGTTATAAAATATTTATCAGAATAGAATGCTCCAATACTGAATTGGTCAGGAAACTCTCCTGAATTAAATTTTATAGTATATCTTTTGGCTCTCCTTAAAAATAAAATATCTGTAAAAAATATTACATTTAAAATATATTACAGAAAAAGTTGTATTTAAATAGAAAAAAATATTCACCACTAATACCATAATGAATGGTTGCAAACAATGAAACCATTCATAATGATTTTATAAAGAAAAATGCACCACAAGTGAATCAATGAATAAAAAAAATTGTATTGCAATTTCGATACCCAATTAGCCTTTTAAAACTTTGATTAGGCCTATCATAGCATATCTTTCAACATGTTTTCGTAAAAGCGTCTTAGACAAAACTAATCCAACACGTGCCATATCGTTCCATTTAGGTTATTGAATTGACCTTAAACAGTAGCCAGATGTTATAGCCGAATTACTCAAATATCATTTTTTCAGAGTTTGGCCGTGGCATTTAGGCCTACCTCGAACATTTATATTAGCATAATCTAATGAGATTATTTGCTTTTAGATGCTCGAAGAAATGTACAGAACGTCTAAAAAACCAAAGCGACGACATCTTCGCACGCATGAGTTCGTTACAGACAAAAAACGAGCAAGATGTGTTAAAACAATCGTTGATTACAAGCATGAAAGTAAAAACTCAGCGACCCAGAAAAGAAGGTGTCGAAGGAAGAGTGGCTCATGACTTTTCATTTACATATGCGGTTTTGGTCGGGATGCCAAAGAAAAGGTATGTGTGGATGCCTTTAAAAGCCTTTATGGTATTAAAATTAGTCGTATTCGACGGTTGCGCTTCCTGTTGGTATTAGGAAAATCACCAAAGGACCTTCGAGGGAAATTAATTAAGAACGAATGCAATCAGTGGCAATGTAAGACTTCTGATAAGAGAACATATTGAAAGTTATCCGGTGAAATAGAACAAATATGCTGGTAAAACTATCCAAGTTTCCGCAAAATGTGTGCTACCCATTGGGTAATGTTTCGATAAAAAAAGTGAAACTGCAGGATTTTAGGAAGCTAATGCAATATGTTTCAGATGAGTTCAGAAGTTTTTATGATGAACTATGAGCTGGCCAACAACCGACGAAGCGAATGACGGGGAGGAACACGATATTCAGTGAGATGTCTGACAAAGGCTTTGTGATCGGTCCTTTTATACATTGAGTGATTTAATATGTGTAATAGTTTGACTTTTGTTTTTTATTATTTTTTTTTACAAAAAATGAATAAATATCTAAAAGACAAGCTTTTTGTTATTATCCACAACACATGTAAACAAAAAGGTTCTAAGTCTGACAACTTTAACTATGTATAACACATATATGTATCACAAATTTTGATATATATTTAACAAATCTAATATTTAAAAATGTCAAAAAGCACCCAGATTTTTTTTTGAATTTATTAAAGTAATAATTTTAAATTTAATACGTTTTTTCTCGTTTCCCGAAAAAATAGTTTTTGTGACTTATAACGTTTTTGTATACATCGATTTAAGTGTCGAAAAGAGTTCTGGTTATTTGTAGAGTCAAAATCGAGACCAAACGTTGATCTTGAATATATTTGTAGTCATTTTAAGATTATATTTCCAAAATAAAATAAGTTTAGAAAATCTAATTAAACGCCTGTTCTGCTAGGCCAGATTTTGATTTGCAATTAAAGGAATGTAATAACGCGAGAGTATAAAATTTAATCTTTAAAGTTGGGAAAATTGATTGATCAAATTATAATTATATAGATAGATAATTCACGTTTAATAATAATTCACGTTTATTTTTAAATGAAAATTTTTAAAATGAAAATTTAATAAAAACTACTTCCATTTTTTTAAATATTGCAAAACAAACTAAATGATGGTATTAATGTTGAAAGTGTGATAGCTCATTGATCAATATCAGTTGATTTTTAAAGATTTCAACTAATATTTATAATAAGTAAAGTAATTTATAAAAAAAATAATATTTATAATAAGTAATTTATATTCAAAATAACATTTGTATTCAAATAAATAAGCAATAATTCCGTCTTGAAAAAGCGGTGCAAAACAAAAAGTTTAACGTTATGTTTCCTATAGATCGATGTAAAACAAAATACATTTTTGTTGTTTTAAAAAAGTGGCATAAAACAAAAATTATCGTTTTGCACCTTTTCATATCACACAACCGAGAGAATGTCGACCAAACGCAAGTGCTTAAAAAAAAAAAGAAAATTGATTCTATCAAATGTGATAAAGTTATATAGTTTTTATAAGTTATCATGAACTAACAAAGTATTTGATTCTTGTTTTTTTGGTTCGTTTATTACACATTTTTTACAATGGTCTTTGTATGCTGATACTTTAAAATGGTATCTGCAATTGTCACATCTTTTTGGTCTTTCTTCACATAAAAATTCAACAATTTCATTTATACCAATCAAAATACACATCACATTCTTCATAATAAGAACTGAAATATCAGCATCATGGTTATGCCATAAAAACGATCTCAAAATCAAATTTGGTACATTCACTAAAAACATATATCCAAAAACATAGCAAATTCTAAATGAAAATCCAGGAACCCTTCCAGAAAATTTATTTACATACAACTCGTAAAGAGCCATAGTAGGAAGAAATAAGTTTATGCTTGCAAAACCTAAAGTAAGTATTAAAAATACTTTAGGTACCCCACTGGGTTCAAAAAGCAACTCCAGCAAATCCATGCTATCAAAAAGATCTAAAGTTACACTTGATGCTAGTGAGGAAATATATACTTTACGATCTTGACTTGTATTTGCATTATGATACCCAAAGATCATCAACAAAAAAACAAGCGGAGTACATGCTAATGAAACTTTCAAGAAATTAGGTCCAAACAAATCGCTTTCTCTAAATGTTAGAGGATTTTTGCTGAATAAAATAACCATTCTTGGCAGTAAAAAAATAATATAAATTATCCAAGCAAAAAAAGCATATTTTATTTCATCTGGAAATTTTGTAGGATCTTCTGCATCAACTTCATCAATACCTTTCTTCTTAAATCTTTTATGTAGGTAAAATAAAATTAATGTCCAAACACCAACAACAAAGGCATCTCCAATATACCATGTCCACCATTTTATATTATAAGATATGGTTAAATACTTGTTCAACAAAAATCCTTGAAATATAATTACAGCAATACACCCAAACTTTGCCAACAGAGATAACTTGTACATTTTTACTATTTCTAAAAAGAATCAAATTGAATAAATTATATTACTAATTAAATAAACTGATATAATAAAATAGAATTGAGACAAAGAAGTACAAAAATATTAAAAATGTTCTTCTTATTTATACCAAAGTACTTCAAAAAGGTGGCAGTTAGCCATTATTTATGTTGGGATAATAAACTTACGTTTTGCTCATTATAAGAAACCATTATATAAAAACACAATGAGATAAGAGAATTAAAAAGTTCTGATATTCACAAAATAAAACTAAACAAATAGAAAGAACAATAACTGTGAAAGAACATGACTTAATGATTTGCAACATAAGAGTAAACTTTGCTATAAGAGGCAACTGTTTATTGGAGCAACTAAATGGTAAAATTATATATTTTTAGAGACACAACATTGATGCATATTTATTCAAGTTGCTCAAACAATGTTAAAAATACAAATCTTGTATATTCTATAAAAGAAAAAAACATTGTCAGATATAACACCATTATTTTACATTCAAAAAAGGATAAATAAAAAATATTTAGAGGAATGGAATTTGGAGTAGGAAAGTGACAAGAATAATAAAGTGAGACAATATGGATAATTGAAAGATAATCAAGACTACAAAAAGATATGGTTTCCTATTTTTATTTAAAGATATATAGGATTGTATATATATAGGATTATATATATATATATAGGATAGGATATATATAGGATAGGATAATATAATATAGGATTGTAAAGATTATTGCAACAATGATTGAAAATGAGTTTTATTTAAAAAACTCACCAACCACCAGACCCCAGAAAATAAAATAGAAGAAAGATCAAACTCACTGTATTGCCCTTGCCAATTTTCTACCATTCTCTACCTCTATAAATCTTTTATTTGTCCTTATATGAAATAATGTTGTCGTATTTGGGATGGTTATTCTGACGAGACACTTTCTATTTTAAACAAGGTCCAAAAATGCCATGGTCACTGCTCAAGAAAGTTATTCTGACTTATTTCATCAAACAAAACTCAAAAGTCAACAACCAAAACTTAAAGTCTTTTGCCCTTTCTTGCACTTTAGTGCTCATATTTATTTTGATAGCTCCAAGCTTAATTAATGTTTGTTTGCAGGTTTATTGAAAACAAATTTTCTTTAAAAAATAATATTAATTTAAAAAAAAATGTTAAAACTAACAGCTTGTTCTAAACAATTAAAATTAAATGACTTATTTTTGAAACTGGAATTTATGGCAAATAAAACAACTATATAGTAAACAATTAATGTAAAAAATCATTAACATCAAAAAAGATGTTAATGATGTTAAGAAGTAACATTGGACCTAATATAGAACCTTATTATACCTAAAGAAGACTGTAGAATATCAAAATGTATGTATGTATGTATATATATATATATATATATATATTTTATATATATATATATATATATATATATATATATATATATATATATATATATATATATATATATATATATACAAATAGTATTGTGCACAAAGGTAAGCAATCTGACGTCATACTGAAATAGCCTGTTGCTAGGGGCTTCAGTACATACATCGACTGACAAATAGCCTGACTCGCAGTGGAGTGCTGCTACATCGACTGAGGATTTGGGATGGAGCAGCAATCGTTTCATTGATCATTCTTTGTTTTTTTTCTTCTTTTTCTTAAAAAGTCGTATGGGTTAAATTAAGCAAAAAAAAGTGAGCAAATGCTTATAAAAATACGCTTTAGTAAGTGTGTGTATATGTATGTATATATATATATATATATATATATATATATATATATATATATATATATATATATATATATATATATATATATATATATATATATATATATATGTATATATATCAGGAGCTATTTTAGGAAAAAAATTTGGGCTGCAGTAACCCCTCCCCCCCCCCCATCCTGGGGAATTTTTTTGAAAATTATGACCATATAAAGTTTTAACCCTCAATTTGAGGGGGCTGTAAACATTGTAGGGTCATAAAAACTAAACACAAAGAGGTTATTGCATGAAATTTGAAATTTGTTGAGGAATATAAACTTAGATAAAAATACTAAAGAAATTATTTTATAAACTTGTTGCTCCCACTTTAAGGGCTGGGTGGGCCCAAAAATTGGGGTTTTTTTTGTCCCCAAGTGCCAATCACTGCAACTCTTTGCAAAACATTCTCATTTGACATAAGCATGAACATACAAAAGTTTGGAGTTTGCACAATTCCTGTAAGTGTCAAAACTCAAACATCTAAAAATCCACCACTGATATATATATATATATACACCACTGATATATATATATACACCACTGATATATATATATATATATATATATATATATATATATATATATATATATATATATATATATATATATATATCATATAATAATAGTAAGGTATATGTTCCTCAAGATTCGTGCTTTGAAGTTATAGAGTTTAGAGAGATTTTTAACCATAGATAAGTAGCCTCCTTGTCTGTAGTGACCTTCTTGGCCTTGGGGAGGTGAATTAACGTAGAGAAGCTGTAACAACTGGTGTTAACATTTACTAACAGCAGATATTGCACTTTAACAGCTGAGTTTGTTTTTTGTTTATGTTTTAACAAATAGTTTCTGCAAAATTTAGATTTATCTAGTTTATTTTTGAAGTTATTTATTGAAGCAGCTTCTATTATTTCAGATGGTAAGTTGTTCCATGCATTTACAACTTGATTTTGGAAAACGTGATATCCGAAGGTATTTCTGCAAAAAGGTTTTTTCAGTTTGAATTTGTGTTATTGTAAATACTTCTTTTGTTGTATTTTGATAATTTGATAAATATATATATATATATATATATATATATATATATATATATATATATATATATATATATATTTATATATATATATATATTTATATATATATTTAGTATTAGTTTTCTTAATACAAAAGTCATTGCTTGGATTTGATTGAATTAAATTGAATTAAAAATATATACATTTATATATATTTTTTTATGTAATAGATTACATAAAAAGAAATCCATACATATATACTTTTAATTCTAAAAAGTTAACAATTTTTACCAACATCATTATAGTATAGAAAAAAGGCCACTAACAGTAGGGTCTTGCTTTCTTCCTGATTTGTAACACAGAGGCATATTTGATTCATTTAGTTATCTTGTATGAACTTGTTTTATTTTAAGAACTTTTGAGTTATTTGTATTGCTAAAAGCTACTTGTTTAATGAGTTAGAAGAAATTATATTGAATTAGGTATTATGGGCACACCAGCAGCTACTTTTAGGCAGATACATAGATTATTCACCATCAACCTCATATATAGAGCAGATACATAGATGCGTCATTATTAATATCATATATAAATTCATGCCAAAAACATTATAAGAGGTAAATTTTTTACAAAATAAAAAATAAAAAATTTCAGAAATATTACCACATTTTATGTTATTGGAAAAAATAACATCTAATGTAACAACTTTTCTCCTTTAACCAAATAACAGTGTGATAACAGCAAAAGTTGTCATCATATCATATCATAACAAGTTTAGGTTAATGTTTTTTTTTTTGTAAGTGTATCATTATTAATGTTACACTTACTTATAGAAAAAAAAAATTACCTAAACTTGCTTACTAGGTAGCACTCACACAAGTATATATAATTATATATAGTAAAAGCAATTATTGAATATAAAGTAGTTAAAAAAATTAAAACAACTTTTTCTCAATAACTACTTACTTCAGTAACAATATATATATATAAGTATTGATAAATTCGAATATTTTTATAGCAGATTTTGAAAATGATTTTCTGAATGCTTAGGCATTTGTTGACTGAATAATTTAAATAGTTTTCAAACCATATCTATTACTATACGTCAACTAAATTTATTGATTATTATTATTGATTAACTGCATAACTAATGTACATTATAATAATAGATATTTTTAATAATATTATATATGACAATGGATATTTTTAAAAATTCAGTCAGCCGTTTGCGAAAAACATGCCCGGCAGTTGATTTATGCATGCGCATTTTGCTTTTTAGTTAGCGGATAACCATTGATTATAACTGAGTTTACTGTCTGGCGAGTTGTTTTTTTTTTTCAACAACTCGACACTTATTATATAAGAAAAATAACAACTAAGTTTAATGCCTGTTTTTTTATAAAACTATGAATGAAATTTCTTATATATCACGTTAAGGGCGGTTGTGTGTCAGTGGCGGATTTAGACTTCTTGGGGCCCGGGGCTATTTTTGTTTTTGGAGGTCTTTCTATGGGCCAGAGCCTAAAAAGGGCTAAAAAAAAAAGATAAAAAAAAAAAGGTCCTCTAAAATTTTGGGGGGCCCCTAAATTTACGGGGCCTGGGGCTATAACCCCCCTTGATCCAGCACTGTTGTGTCTAGATCATAGTGTTTAGATCATGTCTCACTCGATTGCGTCTATATCTTATCTCATACTTCGCAACGATTCTGACAACTTTAGTTAATTTGCCAAACCATAAATTATTTGAAGTTAAAAGTAGTGAGCAAGGCTGTACTAAAAATACATTTAGACCCGGAAATATCGATGACTTAGGCCCATAATATAAATTTTAAGAAATAAAATTTCAAAAAAGCACATTAATAATTTATAAACCTACAGTGGGCGGCCAAATTATTAGTTACAGTTTGTTTTTTCACAAAAACCTGCATTTAAATACGGATAATTTTTTTTCTACTCTTACATTCTTTGATATTTTAATATCAATAATATTTTTTCACATTTTTTTATAAAGTTGTAATATTTATAAATAATTGTGGCAATTTTTAGCATTGATAAGCTAAAATACACTAAAACATGCGAAATGCGCCTTTTGAATATTCTTGCAAAAATTTTATGTGCGCGATAATGCGCGTGTAATAAATAAATATTTTGTCAACTGTTTAGTGTTTTGTGATTCTGACTCATTTCTTTACGTTAATTAGTAATTTTAACTAAAAATATTTGAACTTTGGTGCCAAAAAATAAATAAAGTTTAATATATATCAAAAAGAAAAAAATTCAGAAATATCTGCTTTATCACTCCCAAAGAAAAATTGCAAATTTAGTTAAAGTTTCTGCAATGACAGTTTTTCTGCAATGACAAGTTTCTGCAATGACACTTAAATTTAATTAATCACTCAAACTTACCTCACAAATGGGATAACTTTGAATACGTTTTCTGTAAAAAGAAAACCTATTCAAAAACGCACTGTTTTGTTTTAAAATTTAATAAAAACAACAGTCTAGTTGTACATGAATTTATTATTGATAAAATTATATAATATTATTTCATAACTAACACACATTTGGTTTTTTGTTTTATTTTAATGGATATGTTTTAAGAAAAAGAGTTTCATTTATATCAGTTTCACTTACAGACAATGAAAGTGAAATATCTTTACGCTTATTTAGCTAAAAAAGATTTTTTAGCTAAAAAATGAATTTTTTCAAAGGCCAAAGTAATATTTTTTTTCTCTTAAAGTCTTTTTTCTTTCACATCAACAAAACACAATTGTGAAAGTACATTATCTACTGTTTGGCAACTACTGTTTTAGTGTTTTTATCACCATCTGGCAAACAATTAAGAATAATACTTACATCTAATGAGTAAATCCCATACTTTTTTCAAAACCACTAAGTTACTAATTTGCTGATTACCTTTTGATCTGACCTATATGTTTTTAAGTAAATAAAGTTAGAACGAATGAGATTTAGTTTTTGTCGCAGTCTATACTTTATTTGAACAGGAGGTTTTCGATTGATCAAGTATTATCCTTCAATATTTTTAAGAGGTCTATAAAATGCAACATCAAGAGGTTACAAAAAAGGGGGGGTGTTACCAGTTATAAATCAAGATACTGTTTTCTTCACAATCAGATACTATTTTCTTTAGTTAATTCAAGTACTTTTTCACTAAAAAGATTTTTTTGATTATAACACATAGGAACTTTAGTTCCTGACAAAAAATAATAACAAACTAATCAAAAAACCGAGTAGAATTAAACCGTCCTAACTTTAATTGTATTGTAAATGGTCAGCTCTCTGGTCAACTAAATTGTCTCTGGTTAGGTTTTTAGCCAGAGACGATTTGACCAGAGGTACTAAACATGACTGATGTAACATGTTGTATAATTGCTAATTTTTGCATATTTGTAAAAACAATGGATTTTCCATGTGTTTTCGGATTACTTTTTTATACCTTATTAGAGAAAGTTCAAACTTGCACTCAGTGAACATCTATCAGTTTTTTGTATAATACACTACAATTGTTATTATAAAGTTTGAAAATCAGTGTAATTTTTATACTGCTTTGTATCAATTTGTTTTTATATAAACGTGGGATAGTGCTGCCATATGAAATGCCAAACAAAGACAAACTTAAAGAAAAAAACAGCACTTTCAATAAATTTAATTCAATAAAATATTGAATGTACATACATTCAATATTTTTTTGAATTAAATTTGATTTGAATTAAATAAAATGTTACATAACATATTTTTTAATAAAAAAAATTAAGAATCAATACACAGAGGCGATTCTACAAATAAAATGAGGGGGAGGAGGGTGAAACCTTAAAAAGTACCAACTCATTCTTTAAAAAAATAAAGATTAAAAGTAAAATTCACCCGACTGAATTGTGTCAATTACCCGACTAGCGGCTTAAATTCGTCTTCTTTGGGGGAGAAGGGAGTGGAGCCCCCCACGATTTGCATGTTATAGTCGAAAAGATTATCCAAACAAAGCTTCAACCCGAGTCTGTTGACAAGATGATTTACATCCAGCAGAACTTCGATAAGGTGAAACTCATTAATAGAAATAAAAAAAAACCTTTCAGAAAAATAAAAAATAAACCATAATTTTGCGGTGGAAAGATGATTTTTAAAAACACTTTTTTTAAGTTTTAACCATTTTGAAGTTACCATTGAAAATTTTGTAACGGAAAGCCATGTACTTTATCGTACCTATCGAAATTTTAATTTTTATTAAATAAGTTTACAGTTTGTTTAATAACCAACGGTGAAAAACATTGCACAATGTAACATCAAACTTAAAGTTACATTGTTACTTTTAACATTTTAAGTAGCCATTATGGAAAGAACAGAATTTACGCAGTCATTTCAAAAGTAGAGCTAACAAAGTTTTTCGGATTAAAAAACGTGATGTTTGTTATAAAAATGAATCATTGAACCAACATACAATTTAGACGTGCAACTTTTAAAAAATCAAAAGACAACACCTGAAATAACTTTTTGTTAAAAGAACTTTGAAAAAGCAAAAGACTGATTATTGCAATAGGTAAACTTACTGAGCAACAACAAGAGTAACAAACTTATAACATTAAATTTTCATCATTAAAACAAAGTAAAGTTTTTCCAGGGATTTTTTGGCAATCGATATTAAAGCGATTCAACAGAAGATTTTAAATAAAAGTTTTACAGGAAATTTTGAATTGCACAGTCGGAATAAATACGTATATAATACGTATATAATTAGTATAAAATATGTATTTAGAGTAGCTTATTAAATTAGATTTGGTCTTGAGTGTAAACTTTAAATGCTTATTTAATAACACGCATACATATTAGGGTTGTTCGCCGAAAAACAAAACTTGCAAAAATTTCGCATCTTTATCTACCGTGATAGAATTGTTATTGCGGAAGTTGCACATGCAAAAATGCACATTCCCTAACGCGCTATACGAAAATATAAATAGTAAATAAAATTCCGTAATAAAGCATTGCGAAAGAAAACTTGCGAAACAAATCATTTCGTAAGAATACTTACGAAATAGTTCCTTACGGGAAAAGCATTCCGGAATGTGTAGTTACGAAAAAGACGCAAAAGGTTTTATGTTACGATATATTTAAGATATTAACTGTTAACAGTTTAAATAATAAATAATAAAATTATAAAAAAATGTTGTCAAATGATTCTTCAAATGTTTATACAATTATACTTAATATATATATATATATATATATATATATATATATATATATATATATATATATATATATATATATATATATATATATATATATATATATATATATATATGTATATATACATATATATACAGTAAAATCCCGTTAAGTTCTCAATGAACAGATAAACAGTATGCCTTTCTTTTTAAAAAGTATAAAGAGAATGTGTGATAAACAATTAAATACTTTATTATAAAGAACGAGAGATCTCTCTAAAGGTAAATGATATCAGAAAGAGTAAAAAGAGAAGAAATATATGTGAAACAGCGGGATGTAAACCTGGGTCTACGTGGCCAAATGTCTTAACTGAATGAGCTATACGTTCATTCAACTAAGTGAATAGTAATATTTATTTAATATATAATTAAGAAACTATATAAAACAGAATTTACAGAAAGAGATACGTATGCAAATAGGATTCTATATATCAGGAAAATGAATAGTAATGTGAACCTTTAGATGCTTATAATTAATATCTGGACTCAAAAACTAGTTACTTTTAATGGAACACAATAGGCTGTAGGAGCCTCAGGGAAATTATATTCAGAAATGGTTATATTAGACTCAGAGTTAGCTAGAAATTATTACAAAGTATTTAGGACAGATGTTTAGTACAAAAAGCAAAAGATTTAAAGCAAAATGATTTATATTATTTGAAAAAGTTATTTTACGTACATTTCATCATAATTTAAGTAGAACTTAGGGAAACGTGTTGAATTAAGCACAATGAACTCAATCTTAAAAGAATAACTAACAGAAGAGAGGTTATCACTATTGTGAAGGTGAGGAAAGATCTGTAATATAGAACATGGAGGTCAAAAAATGCTATCTTAAGTAAAAAGAGTTTGATGAACAAAAGTTACAATGGCTGCGGG